ACACACACACACACACACACACACACACACACACACATAAGCATGATGCTCTGACTCTCTCCAGAAGGACCATTTTGCTGTCTGTTTTCTTTCCCCTTTCCCTTTTTGAGAGTTTTTCTTATGGACACATCGGAGTGTATTTAATTTATCATGGCTCCAGGACCCTGTTCTAATGGAATGTGGTCCACTGAATGCCATAGCAACCCCAAATTGCATTATAGGAAGCAAACAATCTCAGCTAAGCTTTGTCCACGGTCCCTTTCGGCGGTGGCAAATGGGGACTAACCAGGGCTTGGAGGAGCTGTGCTGCTGGGAGGCATGCCTGGGGCCTCAAGAGACCCAAATGTCATGGCTGAATCTCTTGGCCATGAACTCCAGTCTCTCTGTCCTCCAAGGGAGACCTTGTCCTGAGAAGTACCCAGAAACGGCCCCTGCCGTCTTTTGAGCAAACACTATGGCCTTCTTTACTTACTATAAATATGAACCATTAATCACGGCAAACGATGTCTATTAGAACCACCAGTCCCTTGTGTAATCATCCCCTCTCTTGATCTTCATACCACTTACAGGCTCCTAAGAAGCCTTTCTGTCGCACAGTCTGGCAGTTCTGTTGTCTGAGTTATTTGCCAAGTTGCTCTATCACACGTCAGTGAGATGCTGTGAAAACAGCACCAGCTAACGCAAGAAACAGGCTTGCTTTTGTGTGTGGACGCGTTTCCACACTGGTGAGTCTAGTCACCAATGTCCTACTGTCTTTCAAAAGACCAGTGACACTGTTGTTTTGCTAGACAATGGGCATGCTGTCAAACGCCTTCTAAATATTTACATTTATAGTTTCGTCTTGCTCTCAGCCTTGGTCAGAGGAGCTTCTTTATGTGATGGGCATCAGTCCCTGCAGACTCCTAACCAGACATCTCTATCAGCCCCAACCCCAAGGCTCAGGGAACGTTGTGGAAGAGGGGGCAGAAAGAGCCAGAGGATGGGGAGGGGTGCTATAAAATGACGTCCTCTGGATACGACACGTCCTTTGCACTCATGGCGGCTGTGACTGCCTGCACAAGGCTGAGCCTGTCAACATGCCATCATGGATGGGGAAGGGGCTCATGAAGGCTGCTGAGAGAAGGGGAGTCCCTTTTCTCCAGTGACTTCCCTACTAGTAAGGGGCCCTTGATCAAGTAAATAACCCCAACCCCCAAGTCTATGCTCAGGCCAGCAACCCAGATTAAAGTCAGTGGGTCATGAAGAAAAAGATGGAAAAGAAAAATGGGGGACTTGTTGGAAAGCAAAAGTGCAGAATGATTGAGAAGGAGTAAAAGAGTAATGGGGTGACTGTGACCAAAACATCCTGTATACAGTATGAAATTATTAAATGAGAGGTAAAATAAGGTATGAGTAATATCATCGACTCTTGCTCATGTGTGTGTGGGGGGGGGATGGAGAGAGAGATGGAGAGAAAGGGAGAGTGTGGGGTCGGAGAGGGAGGGAGAGACTGTGTGTGTGTGTGTGTGTGTGTGTGTGTGTGTGTGTGTGTGTGTGTGTGTGTGTGTGTGTGAGAGATCCTCTTAACTTGCAGAGTCACAAGCCAAAAGGGGAATCATGGAGTTTGTTCTGCCTAGACATAGAAAATAGAGGCCATCCCTAGAAACAGCTATACATGATCAATTGACAGATATTTCTACAAGTGCTGTATTGGGAAAGATACTCTGGTCCAGTCAGGGTCACTCAGCCACATCTGGCGTGAGCGTGGTGACAAAAGAGCCACAGCACAGGGGCCACTTGTGAGCCATCCCAGCCTGTGTCACCCCCGAGTCTGCACACAGAGGGGTTAGATTGCTCCCCTAAGATCATGGAGACAACGTCGGCGGTGGCACAAAGCCAGCACTCGTGGCCAGTTGTGCTTTCTCAGCTCCCAGCTGTGACACCATTCTCCCTCCACCACGACCTCAACTGCAGACAAGGCAGGGGTGTGAAGAGCACCAGATGGAGACTCAGTGAGGGGCACAGGCTTCCCAGAGAGGAGAACCAGGGCAGCCAGCAGGAGGAAAGGCTATCCATGCCTAGCTGGGGATACCACCACTGTTGCTGTCATTGGTTTGTGGGAGTCTGCCAGAGTGTCTTTGAAAAGTGTGGATGAAGACACCAGAGTCAAAGGGCCCCTAGAGAAGGAAGCGCCAGCTGCAGATTATAACCGAAGGGCCCCACCTGACACAATTATTATGCTTACATGTCACACTCATCAGATTTGTACACATAGGTGCGAGAGTTGGGGACTTGCCTATGAGTATCTGGAAGGGAATGAGTGTCAATTCATAGCAAAAAAGCCCTTCAGTCATTCGGTGGGGAGTGGTCACCTTGCTATACAGCTCTATGAGCCACTGTGCTCTTGGTATGCCAAATCCCCATCCCTCTTTCTCTGATAATAGCACTTCCATTAATTTTTGAGTAAATAATGTCTTTCACTCCTAGTCCATGAGTTGGCAGTTGGAAACATCATCAGGAAAAGATAAAATCAGATGACTTCAGCCTGGGAAATGAAGTGGACTTGTCAGGGAGCCTCCACACTGGGATAACCACAGGTAGAGCCAATGAGCAAGGTGGAATCAGAAGATAAACACATGATGCCCTTGTCTAGATACCAGTGCATAGCCATGCGTGGTGGAGAAGGAAGTCTAAAAACGCAGTCATTGATTACACCAACCACTGCATTCCCTCTGCCTTCTCCTGTACCTTTCATTTTGAGTTGGCTTTTTGTCACTCATAGCAATGATAACAACAACAGAAAGGTTCTTGGCCAACATGATAAACGCTCATGTCCCACATGACACTGAATCTAACATTGCTGTTGCAACTCACACCAAGCAGTCGGGTTACCTGCAAGGAGCCCTGGATGTCCTTCCCCCCGACAATCACGAGTTCCGCCATGTCTTCGGCGTGAGGCGTCCTGGCATGGACAAACAGGGTCCTGCCCACTGCAGTTATGTTTCTGAGAGCAACCAAGGTGCCATCACTGTTCACCTTGAAGTGCGGGCTTGAGACCTCATAGTGCAGCTTCTCATTACCCTTGCAGTCACTGAAGGTCACTGCGGAAAGAAAAGAAAGAGCGGGATGAGGGTGAGTATGTTGGACAGCTTAACACTTGAGACGCTGGTGATCTTTTAAACATGGATGAATGAGTGTGCCACTTCTCCACCAAGCTACCCTCTACCCTGACCCAAGCCACTTGTCTCAGAGTGACTTGGACCATGCTGATGGAGTTCACACAATCAAGACACAACCGTGGGCTTGGGATGCAGCTCAGCTGGAAGAGTGGAACATGCACAATGCTCTATTTGGTCTCCAGCAATGTACAAACTGGGCATGGAGATAGGTGCCTATAAGCCCAGTACTTGGAAGGTAGAGGCAGGAGGATCAGGAAAAAAAATCATCTTTGACTACATAATTTTGAGACCACCCTAGACTACATGAGATCATCTCAAAGAGGTAAACATGGAAAGGCCCAGCCTTGATCAACTTTTAGTTTCTAGGAAGTGCTCAGCATTGTTGAGGCTGAGGGATGGGGTAGGTCCTGCCCCCAAGGGTTGCGAATGAAGGGAGGGTCAGAGATGGCAGAGTGTGTTTGAAGGAAGCGACCTGCTTTTGCAATGTGTGACTCTTTAAGCAGAACCACAACAAACAGAAGCTTCAAAGATGGCGCTAAAGAGACAATATCTGAGCTGGAACTTGAAACTGGGTAGACCAGCAGGCCCTGCAGGAGATGGAGGGCACTGCAGCATTTAAGTATATTCAAAGATACGAGGAGTGTCCATGGAGGTGGGGAGGTAAGACACAAAATGAATCTGAGGAAGGAGGAGAGCCAGGGGCACTTATGAGAGCTGAACCGGAAATGGGTGAGAGATGTTGGCGAGTGCAAGGGTGTTCTGGAAATGTCTTTCTGAAACAAGCAAAAAAGCCAATAAATTGGGGTGTTTCTTGGAAGCTGTGCACTGTCCTACAGTGTGGACTGTCTGAGCAGTACATATGTGTTCTGGTGCTAGTGGAGAACAGGATTCAGAATCACACAAGAGCCCTCTGAAGTCCTAGAGATATCATAGACATGAGCTCTAGAAAGTGATCTGGAGATGGGCAAGAAGAAAAGCCAAGGAAATAAGTTAGCTTTTTATGTGCTAAGGACATGTGGTGATGACAGAGGCAGTAGTTCTGGGCACATGGGGAATGGGCAAACAAGGTCATGATTTAGTTATGCGTTAAAAAAAATAGAGACATTAAGCTCTTGGATGAGCCACCTGGGTCCTCCACAATGTCACCAGTGGTGGCCGATGACAGTGATCATGCTTCCCTTTGGGGTGCCTCTACCATGCCCATCATTCCACCTTTCTTGCTCTCTCCATGTGCTCTATATCTGTTTGTCTGTTTCCCTTCTGCTACTGATTTTGAGGTTCCTTGTAGGTAAGCATAGAATTGTACTACACTTGTAGCTTCTTATTCTTGAAGATTTATTTTTCATTTGTATGCCTGTATGTAGGTATGCCATATGAGTATAAGTGCCAGTGGAGACCAGAAGAGGGCGCTAGATCTCCTCCTAGGACTGGAGTTACAGTTAGATGTGTGTGTCCAGTGGAGGTGCCAGAAACCAAACTACAGTCCTGCAGATGAACAGTGTTTTATTTTCTAAGACCCCAGTGCATCCCTGAAGCCCTGGTTAGAACTAAATATATAGTATGTTTATTCCTATGCACACATATGCTTATGATAAAGTTTAATGGATAAAGTATGCACAGTAAGAGATTAATAACAATAATGAGCAATAAAAAGAGCAATTATAACACTATTCTGTAATAAAAGCTATGTGGATAGAATCCAAACCACTCTATTGATCCTAATCACGATATCACATTCCAGCAGTTGGCTGTACTAGGTTTATTTATTCTACTAACAATAAACATTGGGATTCTTTCTCTCTCTCTCTTTTCTCATTCTCTCTCTTTCCTCATTCTCCCTCCTCCCCCTCTCTCTATCTCTTGCATTTCTCTCTTCTCTCTCTCCCTTTCCTTCTCTTTTCTTTTTCTCTGTTTCTGTCCGTCTCACTACACGTGTGTTTCTCTTTCTTTGATTATGTCAGTCCCCCCATGTCTCTGTGTCTGTCATTGTCAGTCAGTCAGTCTGTCTGTCTGTCTGTGGAATTTTGCACTTTACACTTTCAGATGACAGCTGAGTGCAGGTGACTAAAGCCTGTGAAAGCAAAACCATCAGTAAGGAACATGGCCACTTGTTTTCAGTGCTCTACCTGACAGCCTTGCCTGCTTCACAGATCTGTGTGATGGGACACAGAACACACAACTCAATGCATGATCTATGGTGTCAGTGCAGCTGTCTGCCATGTCTTCACTCACATCACGACACAGAATTTGACTGGTCCTCTCCCTTACTGGGTAAAATGGCTCCCCTCCTCCCTAGAGGCCACATCACCATTAATGATGAAACCAGTGTCCATACCATACATAGCATTTGCTGAGGAGGAACCACCTTTGTGCTTGAATTCCTTTATTCAACATGACTTTGTGGGGTTCATCCATGGGGTAGTTTATCCAAATCACTACTTAGCAATCACTCAAGACTATACTGATATCATAGTAATAAATTAACGAAAGACTATCCTGGATCATAGTCCAGGATGTAGCTGTTTTAATTCTGCTGTCAATAAGCACTGGGACTATTCTCAGCTTAGGTCTCTTAAAATGCTACTACCAGGAACTTTGTCCTCTATGTTTCTTGGAGACAATGTCGACTTGGGTCCTAGAGTACTGGTAAAGCCATGAAAGATTAGATGGGCTGATGCAATCTTGCTCTTTTAAGAAGATGGTGCTTATGACAACCATCACATTAGCTGGCTAACATGACAGCTGGCATGGACAGAACACTCCTCCACACAAGGTCCAGAGCTAAGCATTTACCCATATTGTCTCATCTTCACAAAAAAGAGGAAACCACCACTCTGATCCCCTCTACCTGGAAGTGTCTAGGTAAGGTCATCCTGGCTTGGAGAAAGGGCAAAGACCAGCAAACAGTTTGTAGATAAGAAATGGAGATAAGAACTCTGCTTCAAATCAGTGTCATCACTGCATAAGGACAATTCCCTGAAGAATAAAACCCTTCAGGGATCTGATCAGAACTGAATGTCAGAGCCCCACAGCTTCCTGCTCAGTCCTGCTCCCACAGTCCCACCCAGCCGGGAAGTACACCGCATTCACTACCTCTTAGTTACAACATGTGATGGCTGGCTGATCTTGGTTGTCAACTTTACATCTGGAATCAACTAAAACCCAAACTGCTAGGCTAGGCAGGCCTATGAAGGATTTTCATGATTCAAGGTAGGAAGACACATCCTAAATCTCGGCCACACCTCCTGGTGGCAGCCCACCTAAAAAGACAGGGAAGAAGGAAGCTTTTGCTTTTGACCTACTTGCCCTTACTCTTGCTGGCAAGTTCATCTACCCTACTACCTTGCCATTCCTTCACTGGTGTTAGAACCTACTTCTTCCAGGTTCCAATGTAACCTGAAGACTAGCAGCATTCCCGGAATCTGCCAGCACCCTAACACCAGATTGGAACTGCTGAGACAACCAGTCTTGTGGAGTGAAGGACAGGATTCTTGGCTTTCCATTGGGAGACAGGCATCATTGAAGTAGCCAAGCCACAGCCTGTGAGCCAGTCTAATAAATATTCTTTTAATATATGTAATCACTCCATCAGTTCCATCAATTTAGAGAACCCTGACTAACACACCCTGTGTTCAGGCTCCTGGGCCATCTTTACAAATGCTTGGGTAGACTTTGGTATCTGCAGTTCTCAAACTCTTGCTCCCCTCCTCTCTCCATCTTGGTCATCATGATTCCTCAGGATTACATGGCTTCGGTTCTTGGAGACGGACTGAGCAGGGGCTGCTCATGGTCGTCAAAACAGAGCTCACATCCACTGGGAGCCACACTCCCAAATGACAAGACCTGCAGAGACATGTGGCCGCATTGCCAGCGTGAGGACTCTGGTCACAGCCCATGGACAGGATCAAAGCAGATGGCCTCAGCTGCGGAGGGATGGGGAAGGGAAGGGCAGAGAGAGGACTGTGGGCATCCTGGATTCATATTGAATTCGCCCTGTTCTTGCTCCTTCCCTTCTTATTTCCCTCCCTCCGCCTGCATCTTCCACAAATACTGAACAAGAGCCTGTGCTGTGGGAGATGCTGAGTTCATAGTGCTCACAAGAACCAGCAGTCCTTGAAATGTAATGAGGGACACAGATGTGAATCCAGCATTGCCGTGAGTAACCGGGGAGCTATTTCAGGGAGACACGACTGCAACGTGTGTAAAAGTCCTGTTGCACCGAGTGAGCTGGACACAAGCAAGGGAGACAGGCACAGAGGCTAAGGCAGGAAGCAAGAAGCAGGGAGAGAGATGACCGGGCCTGGGGACTGGGTCTGAAGAGCGTTCAAAGTCTTGGTCCTAAGGGCATCCTTGAGCTTTTACACTGTGATAGTGCCTCCACCTGACTCTTCTGAGACCATGGCTTCTCAGTGCAGAATGATACATAGCCATCAAAGTCTTCCATGTCTAGGCTGTCTGTCAGCTCCTCCTGGACTCCATCACCATGACTGGTACCTTCCCTACTTCTGCAGCTCCCGTTTGCCTTTCCATGCATTGCTTTTATTACTGGGTCTGGCCAGGCCGAAGGTGCTTTGTGCTGTCTTCACCCTGGTAACTCCTAACTGTCCACCACGATTCGGCTTGCCCTAGTTTCATATCTGCTGCTGGGGTAAAATACCCCAAACAAAAGCAACATCGGGGAGAGAATGTTTATTTGGCTCACCATTCCAGGTTACAGTCCACTGTTGTGGGAAAGTTGAGGCAGGAACTTAAAGCATCATGTCCACAGTCCAGAGAAGAGAGAGAATAAATACAGGGATCCTTGCTTGCTCCGATGAGCTTTCCCCTCCCCTTCTATTCTGGGATGGTGCCACCCATAATGGAGCCTCCTAATTAACAGTCAAAACAATCCCCCACAGATCATTAGGCCACCTGACTTAGAC